AAAAAAAAAAAAAAAAAAGCCAGATTATATGAATCATATATCTACTATATTCAAGGTTTTGCTAAACCTTAAATACTTTCTCACCAGGATCCTATCATCAGGGAAAATCAAAATGTCCCAGAACACTACAACCATTCTTTAGGTTCCTAGAAAACTATGTAAGTATCCATAACAAAAAGCTTTGTCCATCTGTTCCCTCTCCTCTGGAGCTACAAACATGGTTAGATTAATGCATTTTCACACACAAAAAAATTAAGGTAAGTAAGGAGGTCATTAATGCCAGGTCTGCATGCTTACAGTCTCTACATACTAAACAGTTTTATTATGAATAGTAACACTGCCCTCAACTTACACTTACAAACTATATGCAGGAAACTTAGGAAAAATCAAAGCTTCTTAACAAAATTTACGAAAGGGATTCTAAGCAGAAGCAAAAGGGCCCCTGAGAATATCTAATTGTGATGGGTCCTTGTGGTCAGAGGCAGGTAAGGGACACTAGAGTGTGCCAGTTCACATCACTCGGCCCCTGGAGAACCCACTGGTCATTATCAGTTAAAGTAGACAGTGTCCCATATAAACAAAATGTTTATCACAGGAGAGTGATTGACACAGTGATTTTCCTATAATAACTAGGAAATTTTTTTTTCGAAAAGAAATCATTCCAGAAAGAACCACATAACCAGTAAGCAAAAACAGCATCATACATGGTAGATTATCAACTTAGAAGGGCTAACTCAAATTATAGTCTTAAAGTGGAACAACCACTTACATTAATGCTAAAAACATTCTCCAAAAAGCGCTTATTGAAATACAGGATTATTTGAAAGGAAATGTAAGAAAGATGAGAAAAGGCCAATTCTAGAAGAAAAAGCAGAAAGGTATTCTCAAGAAGACAATAGCTATTCATCACCTAAAGTTTCAAGTTCACACTTCAGAGAAAGCTTGGTTTCTGTGTTCTAAAGATACATGTTCTCAGATTCACATGTCTAGGATGTGGTATTACAACCACAGAATTCTCATCAAGTGTGTTGAAAACAAGTGAAGCAAAGAAAATTTACCTTTACATAAATACAATAGAACAATGTACTAATGAGTTCATTTGTCTATTTAATTAATGCTTCCTGAGCACATAGAATACATATGGTTTGGTGCTATGGGCAAGACACACAATACAGGACCCAATTCCTGTCTCTAAAACCTTCCAAGCTAACTGTAGAGCTATTCAAAGTCACAAAGTAGGTGACTAAACTCACCCACTCAGTTAAGGTGTTCACAGTGTGGCAAAACTAAGCTTTCTGTCACACAGTTTCATTCAGCCTAAATAATCGATTAGCCTTAGAAAAGAAACATGACAACCCCACATCTCTTTAATCTGGAAAAGAAAAACTGCACGGGGATACATACGTAATGTTCCTAATGCAAGTCCTAAACAACATCTCAATCCAATTGATGAAAAAAATAGAGGTCTTTACAGCTTAACTTGGATAAAGAAAAAAAATCTTTTCTGCAAGGAAACCTGGGGAAGAAAACTCAAACAATGAGGATATCTTCTACAATAAGTTTCTTATCTCACCTATGTGTGTTCAGCAGACCCAACTAAAAGAAGTCTGAGAGCTCTGTTTATGCCTTGTCCCCAGAGCTCTGGGGGAGCTTCTTTTCTCTATTAATTAATCAACAGTATATGTGCATACCTGTATATAAGATTTTGGGCTAAACAAATTCTAAGTAAAGATGCCCTCCCTAATTTCCCTTTAATGAATAATCTAGTCCTGGAAATAAGATACAGAAATATTAAAGATAAATAATGAGAAATACAAAAATGAGTATTAGATACTGACACATAATACATCAGGAAAAAGGAGAAAGAGAGACAAGAGACCAGCAATGGAGCCGCCAGTGACAAAAGAACAGGGTAGGATGAATAAGGAATAAGAGCAGAAAAGAGGAAAACGTAGCTAATAAAATCCATGGGTAACAGAGGAGACAGCAAACTTCACAGCATCTCCAGATGGGAGATGAAAAAAATTCACACGTATAACAGAAAGGTTGAAAGAGGAAGTGCAGGGGAAATTTGAAAATAAACACATAAGAATAAAGCTAGTTATGCTGATGAGAGGCTGCTGATGGCTAGGTTTCACATACTGTGAAGAGTTATAATAGTAAGTGATTATTACTGGCTATTGGAGATCAGAAGAAAGTAGGATTGCTAGGTGTATATGTCATAGCCACAGGAAGAGACTTGAATAAACCACTCATAGCTAACTTTGCACACTACATGTATAAAGAAAGGAATGCATGGTCTCATTTTCACAACTTTGCAACTGAGAAAGGGAATGAATATGGTTTATAATCTTGAGAGAGAGGCAACCAGTGAGAAATGTGACATCACTTGCCCTCTTTCTTCTTGAAGCCCCAGTTCTCTCTCAGCTTCCAGGACACCACTATGTCCTATTTCTCTTTCTATCTCTGTGTTCATTTCTTTTTCACTCCCTCTGTCCCACTTTAAATGCTGGTGCTCTCCAGGCTTTACCCCAGGCCCTTTCCCCAATTTACTCACTCTCTCCCTAAGCCTTCTCATCTACACCTACAGCTCCAATTGATCAAAATATTTCTCCAATCCAGACTTCTTTCCTGAGTGCCACGTTTAAGTTCCTAACCATCTTCTGTACCTCTCTTCCTACTAGTCCTGTAAGAACCCCAAATATAAGCTTGTCTACAACTGACCTTATTATGTCCGGTATCCTAGTAAATAGCATAACACCTCTCCAATCATGTAAGAAAAGTCTACCTCCTTAACATCTTCTTTCCTTCTTCTCCTAACTATCCCTTCCACTACTGTCTTAGCCCAACACCTCATAATCTTACCTTTTAACTCTTTATAAACAAGTTTCCTAAATGGTATTATAAGAAACAATTTATTAAAAGTCCAAAGGATTGGAATGTATCTACAAGAAAATAATCATCCCTTTGTGCCTCTGAGATGCACTATAATACTTGTAAAGCAATTTTATTTTCAACTTCAAATCTCACAGCAATTTTAATACATTTTCTTGTTTGACACCCTCATTCCTAACTTCCCAGAAAACAAGCATAATCTTGTAAGAAAGACAGACGTGGGACCCCGAGGTAGATTAGTTGGTTGACTGACCTACTCTTGATTTTGGTTAGGTCATGATCTCACGGTCATGAGATGGAGCCCTAAACCCTGCATTGGACATGGAGCTTGCTTAAGATTCTCTCTCTCCATCTGTCTGTCTCTCTCTCTCTCTCTCTCTCTCGAGAGAGAGAGAGAGAGAGAGAGAGAGAGAGAGAAAGAAAGAAAGAAAGAAAGAAAGAAAGAAAGAAAGAGAAAAAAAAGACCTTTAAAGAACTCAATGATTTGCCTAGTCCTTCAAAATTATATTCCAGGGCCAACTGGGTGGCTCAGTTGGTTATGCATCTGATTTGGCTCAGGCATGATCTCATGGTTCAAGAGTTCCAGACCTGCACTGGGCTCTGCACTACCTCTCTCTCTCTGCCCATCCCCCACTCATGTTTTCTCTCTTGCTCTCTCAACATAAACAAAAAAAAATGATATTCTAGGGGTGCGTGGGTGGTTCAGTTGGTTGGGCGTCCAACTCTTGATTTTGGCTCAAGTCATGATCTCACAGTTTGTGGGTTCAAGCCCCGTATCAGGTTGTGCACTGCTTGGGAGCCTGCTTGGGATTCTCTCTCCCCCCCCACTCTGTCCCTCCCCCACTGATGCATGCACACATGCACACATTCTCTTTCTCTCTCTCTCAAAAAGAAAAGATATTCTATAAATTTCTCCCCTTTTAATTTTTTTTTTAAACATTTATTCATTTTTGAGAGACAGGCAGAGACAGAGCCAAACAGGGGAGAGGCAGAGAGAGAAGGATACACAGAATCCAAAGCAGGCTCTAGGCTCTGAGCTGTCAGCACAGAGCCCGCAACAGGGCTCAAACCCAGGAACCATGAGATCATGACCTGAGCCAAAGTTGAACGTGCAACCAACTGAGCCACCCAGGCACCCCTTAGTATTCTTTTTTTTCTTTTTTAAGTTCATGTGTTTATTTTGAGAGAAAGAGTAAGGGAGAGGTAGAGAGAAGGGGAGAGAGAATCCCAAGCAGGCTCCATGCTGTCAGCACAGATCCCAGTGCAGGGCTCGATTCCATGAACTCTGAGATCATGACCTGAGCTGAAATCAAGAGCTGGATGCTTAACTGACTGAGCGACCCAAGTGCCAAGTTTTTTAAAGCTAGAGCTTACAATCGTAATATATTAATTTTTGTGTCATATACAAGAAATTCTACTAATTGTTACTCATTTTTATTAATTAGAGGAAGGTATGACATTTCACTCCATAAAGCAAAAGGATTTTAAGCACAGAAATGCTCATCTTCTATAGCAGGCAATCCAGGTGTATACACATACACTCATTCTCTGTCCATATCTCTCTCTCACACACACACACAAGCATAACCACATACCTTCAAGGAGCCTTCTGAGAATTGAAGCAAGATTTAAATTATATCTAACATCATGTTAAGTATATTATACTATTTCATAATTCTGACCACTGGGAAAATCTGACTAGGTAGTATATTTACCGAATTAATTGGGAGTTTACTTGAATTCATAATTCATATAAGATAGAATAGATTACAAATCCAAGAGACAAATTTACTCCAGGGATACTACTGGAATGATCTTCACATTTCAAGGAGGCTAGAGATAAATCTACTTTATAATTTAAAAAGGCATGGGGGTGCCTGGCTGGCTCAGTGTTGCACGCAACTCTTGATATTGGGGTCATAAATTCAAACCTCACATTGGGTGTAGAGAGTACTTTAGAAATAAAATGGGGCAGGGAGGAGTTAAGATGACATAGTAGTAAGGGGACCTTGGGTTTGCCTCCTCCCTTGAACAGAGATGGATCAACATCAAACCATTTTGAACACCTAGGAAACCAATTTGAGGATTAACAGAACAATCTGCATCATTTGAAAGAAAGAATGTGGCAGGTACATAGTACAGAGAGGTACACTGGGGGAGAAAAGAGCTTAGGTGCTGCAGAAGTGAGGAAGCCAT